TGAGTGGCACCTTAGTGCTCCCCTCATCTGATCCTTCTGCTTTTATATAAGGAAAAAAAAGACTTGCCATAAAGCTCTTATGGAGAAACACTTTTTCTGTTTCTTTATTTTCTGCTTTCTTTCCTTAAATTAGTACAAATACAATGGCAGTTTCCATGTGACAGACACTGTCATCCACAGCTTTCAGAGCATCAGGAAGACACATACTTGTAGGATCTATTGTGGGCTACTTCTTGGCATCTGAATTAAGAAAAAAAAACTGTCTGAACAACTAACACTCTTTTGTACTTCAGTTCCGTTATGATTTTCAATAGGTCTGCTATGATTCATTACAAAAAGTAGTGCTTTTTTACCAAGGTAAACTATACAAAACAGAAGAGTCTTAAAACCAAATATTCCTCTGGTTAGTTTAGAGAAGAGTCTATATCCTTCACAAGGAGCATCCAAGTACTTTCAAAGGTGCTCAAGCTCTGCTTTCCTTCTGTTTGCAGTCTTAGTTGAGTTGGACTTTAGACACTATCAACAACATGAAATAATCTGATGGATTCATTAGAAAATGTACATAGAGGGTGGGTGGCACATGCCAGTTAATATGCCACTGAATTAAACGTGACAACTATGTATTCACAACTTTAAATGAGGGTCTGTGTTAACAATGAAAATATTTTCCAGTGGGAAATAAGAGTAGTAACCAATAATAAAAAATGTAGAAGCAGGGAAATTTTGTAAAGCTTGTGGTGTTTCTCTGGAATATGATAGAGTAAACATCTGTGAAACAATTACTAACTACTTTGTGTAAACCTCAGGGCACTGACTTGGCATATCCACTGTTCTACAGTGGCTGTGTCAGAATTAAAACCAAGCATAGTCAATGATGGTGTATTAGATGAAAAAAAAAATAGCAATATGAGTTATTAGGAGTTCTGGGAATTTTTACCAAAAATAAAAAGCTTTGTGGGCTCCAATGTCCAATTACTTCACAGTAATATGAAACTTGCATTAAATACTCAGTATTTCGCTGCCAATGTGCTTGCCAATGTGCTTAAGTATTTCAAGTTTATTTGTTTATTCTTCTCTCAGCTGAGTATGAATTATTGCTTACATATAGAAATGATTATTTAACTGAACAATTGTTACCACATCTTTGAAACTGCAAGGAGTGTCAAAGTATGATGTTTGACATTCTTTGTAACAGGTGACAATACAACATGCAATAGGAGGAAATCTTGAAAAAACATCTGAAAATTGGTAAAAATGTGGAGGAATAGCAGAATCCATTACACTAAGCTTCATATTTATACAAATACCAACTTTTATCTGTCATTATTTTAAAGTAAATAGTCTAGCTTCCAGAACTGTTTTGCTATTTGATGACCAAAAGAAACATCCACTGATAATTTGTGGTTTGTGAAGGTAGATTGTTTTGAAAGTGCAGGTGTTTGTGGCAGTATAATAAAAAACGTAAATGTTATATATGATTATACTGCTCCAATTCTCTCAGGACTTTTCAGGAGTCGGACTTGAATTGCTCAGGATTTTAGGACACTGCCTAACATGTAAGAAGGTATCTTGATTGGGAGAGTAGCCTTTAAAACTTTTTAAAAATACATACTTAACTTACTTATGAAACAAAGACAATACAGGCATCAGCAAGACTTCTTCCAAACTTGTGTTTCCATTTAAAACTTTATTTTGTATGTTCAGAACATCACCAGAAACATAGAAACTTGTAGGCACAAACGACTTATTATCTAGAGTTTTTGAATAAAGTATTTGCTAATGCAATTGCAACAACACATTTTTCATGATAACTATGTACCTTATTATTTCATATATACATATAAAAGTCATGCTTTGTAAAGTCATTTTGTCTAGACCATGTTTTCTGGGTGCTAAAATTCACTGTAGATCTTAGATGCTTTAAATACGCCATATTTTTCTGCACATTTTAAAGAGTTTATTATACCGACGTCACATTCCCAAATAAAACACAAAATGTAATAAAGTTGTATATTTTTTACCGTACATTTTCTTCCCTGTATTAAAAAAAATAATTGTATAAGTAATAGCAAAACAAATATTTTAAACCAGCTCACAAGTGTGTAAGATATGTAAAATCTAGTAGTATAAACTAGGATGGCAATGTAAGATTACAAAATACATTATTTTTTGAGTCTATGGTCCATGAGTAATATTGCTTCTCTACTGGCCTTGCGTTGATACATGCAAGTCCATGAAATAATTCATGGCTTATTATGTAGCAGGTGAGGAATCAACTGGTAATTAAAGGAAATGGTCCTCAAGCCTAACAACTGGCAGCTACTTGTTTTATTTTCATCTTTGCCATACAATTACTCTTTTCTTGCTATGAGGCACATGCAAAAAAAAGTCCAGGGCCAAAATTCAGACTGTAATGTTCTTGCAGTCACAGTTTGTTAAGTAATTCTTATCCCCTATATTCTGCTTCTGCAAGACTCTTTATGGTGCAAATAATCAACGTAATAATGTTAAAAGGATGTTAGTCTATATATGGCCTATTTTTTTTTCTTCTGAGTTTTTGTCATTATTTCATGCTGGCTGCTTAGGCATGTGCCATGCATGACGACCTTTGGCACTGGCATGTTAGCATCAGTGGGAGACCTCTGCAGTGCTGACCTCCGCGTGTGACCCATTATTCCTTAAGTGTGAATATTCTTTTGATTTTCCAGTTCCATTAGTGGAATCGAGTGCTGTAAAGATGAGGAACATCAGTCAGTTGCTTGCAGATAAGACAGATATACAAACATTTATAAAAGTCTTACTAAACATAGTGCTTCTGAATGTTTTGCATCCCTGATCTGGAAGTTCTTTTTGATCTGTTGACCGAGTGAAAAGAAAAGATGCACTTAGCTGTGTGAGCCATACCAGATTCCTTTATGCGTTTTAGAAATTATTCAAGAACGTGAAGAGACAATCTGACCAAATGCAGAGCAACCACTGGGCTGAGTCTGAGATCTGCTTGTGTTCCTGGGTCTGCCCCTAGCGTGCCAGGTAATCTGTGTGCAGTTGTTTCCTCTCTTCATGTCTCAGTTGCACCACCTGAGAAGTTAGGATAATGACGCTGTCCTTCTTGTAAAGTGCTTTGAGACTTACGGAGAAAAAGCATTCTATAAGAGCCAGGAATTCATTGTTAAAGAAAAGCTTTAGCTTTTTTTTTTTTTCATGCTCTCTCCAATTTTCTCTTCTAATTCAATGAAGTAAACACACAAAATTCTATCTTCTTTGAAAACAGTAGAAGTTTTACTCTTGACTTTACTGGTGCCAGAATTTCTTGCATGAGTGAAGAAAGTTGTGCTCCTTTCCAGACAACGCTAGTAGCAATTCTTGTTCCAAGAACTGTATGCTAGCAGTCTACCTGTGAAATACTTGCACTTTTCTTTGAAAGGTGGAAGGTAAGCAAGGAATAACTTTGAGAGGAACAAGGTAACAGTTTTTAATGTAAATACTCCATTTGAACAGCTCATAGAAGATATTTATAATGTAACAGCATGCATACTAATAATACCAGTACTTGATTGCATTTTCTCATAGTATGATTTTGACATAAACATTTACCAAAAATATGCGGATTTTTTATTATTTCAAAGCAGTTCCTAAGGTGCAAATTGTAGCTTGTACAATTTTGATGTGTCCTTTAAAAAATGTATGTGCTTCTTTTATCTTAGGTGGTCTTTTTTATCAGTAGGATAAATACTTCATTCATTCATGTTAGTTTTTAAAAAAGCTTTGAGGAGAAATCCAGAAAAGCTCACATTTTGTAATCTCTTTCCCCTCATAAAGGTTTTGGGAAGAGGAGTTTCCCCTGACAAAGTGGTTTAAATACATTGTTTGGGGGTAGAGTTGTTAAGTTTTTTTTTCTAATACGAACTTTGTATTGCATTGTAACACAGTACTGACTACAACTTTTACTATGCCAAATCCTGTAGTACTTATTCCAGCAAATTTTCTCTTAAAGAGTCTCATAGATCCTAACTCCAGATATAGGATTTGATTCTATAAATAGTCACAGCAGTTCAAATCATGAGTTTAAATGGCAAATATAAAACCCTTCAGACAATATAAAGGCAAGAACTCTAGTAGTGCATGAATGCAAAATCATTCTGATTGGAATACAGTGATGTAAAGAAGTTCCATACAGCTAATATGGTAATTTTAATAAAATCTTTGTAGAATACACCAACATCTCTCCAGGGCTACCATCAGTTCAGTGGACTTGCCGTTCATTCACTGATTACACCATGTGTTCATTTAACCATCAGCACCACTTGAGCAGAGCCTTTCCCATAGAGGCTGTTATAGGGGACTCCCCAGACAGTCCTCCCAGGGGAAACATTTTCTTTGTACATACACACCATTTTTGTCAAGTCTGACTTTCTTTGTAGCCAAACATCTTTGGGAAGATGTTCTGAAACATATTGGGGCAAGAAGCACAGGTCATTCTTGGAGCTGTGGGTCTGGAGAAGATGATCTCTATCTCTTTTACAGGGGCTGGCTTTTCCTCATTCTTTAGTTCAAACATCGCATCATACTCAAAAGAAATCTCGTGCTGGGCGTAGAGACAGTATCTGTCCCTTTTTATTGTGCTACCCCTACACATCCTTTTAGTGTGAAACAGTTTGTTTCTTTGGCAGATCCGAAACTACCATATGCACACTGCCGCATCAGTCAGTAATGAGAACTGCACCAAAGTCTTCATCCACAGTATTCTTGAAGGACATGATGACGTCGCCCAGCATGAATTTACACATTCTAGGTTTCTTCATGGCCACTTTTTTGTTTGTCTTCTAACATCATACATTGCCTTTGCTTGAATTGTGTAAACATGTAAATAATATGAAGTTGGATTTCCAAATCCTTCACTTGACGCTAAGGATAAAACATCTTTTCTTCTGTAAATTACAGAATTTGGTATCGTGGCCCATCTTTCTTTTACTTTTTTTTTTCTTTTTCCTTTGATTGTTGGTTGTTTTCATAGTAATCACTATAACTCAAACTTCAAATATTTCTTTTAAAACAGATACTAATAAATAGGGTCTTGCATGGTTGTTCTCTCTATAGATTTTACATGGGTATTATCAGACAGGTGAGACTGCGTGACTGACTTCTGACAGTGCAATTTCACATCACCACACATTTGCCTTTCAGCTTCTCTTTCCTTTTCTGCTGCTTGCTTTTTTTGCCATCGATTTGCAAACTCACAGTCCTGCGTTTCTCTAGGTTTAGCAATTCTTGGAATAACTCTTTCACATTGTGGTTCAGCTTGGCAGAGGTCTCCATGAAGGCACATTTCCATTTCTTAGCCATGGCTTCCCCTTCGCTGCTGTCCACCTCTCGATTTTGGTTCTCATCGTTTTTGTTCCCTACCAGCATTATTGGAATGCTTTCTATGTCTCCCTTAATCTGACATATTTGTTCATAGATCGGTTTGAGTTCCTCCAGGGACTGTCGGCTGGTGATAGAGTAAACCAAAATGAAAGCATGTCCTTTAGAAATAGAAAGACGTTGCATGGCTGGAAATTGATGGCTCCCTGTAGTATCGGTTATCTGCAAAGTGCATATGCTCTTATCACAGCTGATCACCTGCCGATAGGTGTCTTCAATGGTAGGGATGTAGCTCTCTCTGAAAGTGCCCTTCACAAATCTCAAGACCAAGGAACTTTTTCCCACTCCTCCAGCTCCAAACACAACAACCCTGTAATCATTGCTTTGCTCAGGCATGTTTATTTGTGTGACTGTTGCTCAGCTCGTGGATAAAATCTAGGAAAGAAAATGACAAAATGACAAGACAGCATTAGTATAGGCACATGTGTCTGTGATATCCTTCCCAATACAGGAGAAGAATGTGATGCAAGTGATCGCATATTAGTTGTAATTATTTAAGAAGACTTGCAGGGGGTCACACAATGATTTATTGAAGTAGTAAGCTCAGGATTTGCAATTCAGCCTGGAATGATAACAAAAGACCATCTTCATCACTGAGATCGTTCATGTTCAGTCTGCCTTTTCATTCTAATCTCTACGTCACGGCAGATGATATTTGACTGGAGACATGCTACGCTTATTAGAAAGGTTGTGCAGGTGTCTTCACATTTGAAAGTGGCTTGTATTGTCAAGGTTGGCAAATACCTCTGTCAAAGGTTCCAAAACCCCGTGATCCCTGAAGTTAGTTCCCCTCAATGAAACTTGTCTGTAAATAGTAGGACCACAATATTGTCATCACTATTAGATAACAGAAAAGATAAGGATTTTACCCTGCTGAAACTTGTAGTTGGTTTAGAATTCATTGAAATAAATGGGATGATGAATTTGTCCTCCCAGCTCTCCAGTTAGATGGCATATAGAAGTATCTTCTTATATTTAGTAAGATTTAAGCAAATAAACACTAAAAAATTGAACCCTAAAAGTTGAAGAGTCTAGGATATTACTTCTCAGATGAAAGCCAGATATATAAAAAAAGTGTGTAGAACAAACTGCAAAATTGTATTTGTATTTGTTCTAACGAAAATGGGCTGATTTAAGAGGGAGTCTTGTTAAAGTGTACAAAAAAGGACATAGATCTGCTGGAGCGGGTCCAAAGGGGGGCCACGAAGGTGATTAGAGGGTTAGAGAGCCTCTGCTGTGAGGACAGCCTGGGGGAGCTGGGGTTATTCAGCTTAGGGAAGAGAAGGCTCTGGGGTGACCTAATAGTGGCCTTCTCATACACGAAAGGGGCTTACAGGAAAGTTGGAGAAGGGCTTTTTATGAGGGCCTGTAGTGATACGACAAGGGGCAACGGCTTGAAACTACAAAAGGGTAGATTTAGATTAGATATATGGAAAAAACTCTTAACCACGGGGGTGGTGAGGCACTGGAACAGGTTGCCGAAGGAAGATGTGGATGCCCCATCCCTGGAGGTGTTCAAGGCCAGGTTGGATGGGGCTGTGAGCAACCTGGTCTAGTGGGAGAGAGGCATCCCTGTCAACAGCAGGGTGGTTGGAACTAGATGATCTTCAAGGTCCCTTCCAATCTTAACGATTCTGTGATTTTATGATTTTATAATGGTGCCAAGGGACTGAATTTACCCGTTGCAATGTTGCCTGGGTAGCAGCTAACCTAGAACAACCCACAGGGATTTCTTACAGAATAAGGAAAGCCTTCAAGCTATTTCTTCACTGCATCATGAGGAGCAACTAAATTCTGGGACAGGTTTTTAAGTTACTTCTTGCCTCTCTTGCACAAGGAGAACAGGAGCAATGCTGTAGAGGTATGGATGCAAGTGCAGCCCCCATAACCTTATCCTAGTTGCACAAGCATAATGAATTTTGTGCTTCTGCATCTATGATGCTGTCGCTGCCTCTACCAGTTAGATGAAAGGTATGGCTACCTATGCTGCACTAATGTCTTCATTTTGCTGTTCAAGCATACCTTGATTTGGGTATCCTTCTCGTCCAGGGCATCCTATTCTGTCCTAGTCTAACGCCTGAGTAAGCTGAAAACATCTCTTTTTTCATAGTGTGTTGGGTGAAGGAATTGTACTTTCTCATCTGCCTCACCACAGCCAGGATAACCAGTGCGACCGGGGATTCTGATCCTGAGGCAAAGTAGAGAGCTGTCACAGCTCTGCCAGCCCAGCCTGGTTTTCAGCAGCTTCACTCCTTCCATGACTCCTACACTGCAGTCATTGTCACTCTCAGACACCTGATTAAATATAGGAAAGACTGATAAATAAGTGTTCACCCTGAGGCATTGAAACAAAATTATTTCTATTTGGCAGCAGAATTCAAGGAATGGAAAGAAGAGTAGTCTCTGATGTATGTGTTTATATAAGAGGGAACACCCTTTGAAGAAAAGGGAAAAAGGCAAGCAGCTCATACTGTTGAGAAAACAATCAAAACCAAATTAGATGATGAGAAATGAGAACAGAATAAGCTAGCAGGACAGTGTTCCACTGGGAATAGGCTTGTACCTAAAAGCTGCAAGCATGCAAATTCAGAACAGTCATACAGTTTAGTCATGTGTGACTTCACAGAATGAGCTACCAAAAGAATTATAATAGGCCAAAAGGCAAGAGAGAAAAACATGGCTACTTCACCTCACAAGGAGCTTAAGAGTTATACTATCAGATAATATGTAGCCTAGGAACTATGGGATGACAAGAAAAATGCATTATTATTTTTTTATTATGATAATGAATGAAATACATAGCAGAGAAATAAAATTTTAAAAGCTAGCTGAGTGTTCTCCTACTGTATTAATCTTCATGGTTTAAGCATACACAAGAATCCTCAGGAAAACTGGCACATCCATACATTAGCCCAAAAGTTAGAACAAATTAAAATGTGGCACTTAATGGCCAATGAAGTAGTAAGCATTCAAAAAACTTCTAAGGGAACCTGAAATGGCATGGTAACAGTCTTCGAACGCATAGTAAGTGTACATCTGTAGTGGAAAAAAACGGAGTTAATGGACTTACATTGCAGAAAAGATTCACATTAGACAGTAAGAAAACTTTACAGTGATAAGAAGAGTGCAGCATCTATTGCTGAGGGAGATTTTGCAGTCTGTCTTCAGAAACAGCCAGAGAATCACAGGATAATTCAGCCTGATGTCTGGTCCACCCTGCTGGCCGCACCAAGGTCAGCCATGAAACTAGACAAGATTGTCCTATCTTGTCAGGGTTTGAAAACTTCCAATATTTCCCACAGCATTTCTGGACAACCTGCTCCACTGCTAAATTACCCTCAGTGAGTTTTTCCCCCTCTTATATCCGGTCTGAATTACTTGAGTTTCAACTCATACCTGTTGTCTCTCATTCTCCCCACCGTCCATCACTGTGAGCAGTTTGACTCCCATCTTCCTGATGGCTTGCTTGTAGGTTTTGGGGTCTGCTGTTTGATGGCCCCTGAGCTGTGCCTTCTCCAGGCTCAGCCAGGCCTGGTGTCCCTCAGGCTGCAGGGCAGGACTATGCTGCAGCCCAAGACACCTTGGTGCCCTCATCAGAACTCACCCCAGTTTATGCATGAGTTTCCTCTGCTGAGGGTGCCCAAACCAGACCAGTGACAGAGCTCTTGTCCCATGAGTGCTGAGCAGAGGGGGATTATCACCTCCCTCAACCGATTGGCCGTGTTCCTGCCCATACAGCCAGGGCATGGTGCACTTTCCTTGCAGCGGGGGCCACTGCTGGCCACCGCCATGTCATTGACCACCATGGCCCCAGGATGTTCTCCACAGAGCCGCTCCACAGTCCGGGTAGCTGCAAGGAAGCAGTAACCTTAGTTGCTGTTTAGTCTGTCCCACATGCAGGTCTGTTAATTCTAAATATCCTGTTTTACCAGGATAAAAAAATAGAGATTATTTTTTTTTTTTGTCGTGCTCAGGAGCTGGGAGCAAGCAAAACAAAAAGCTCTTGCAATGCTTTTTGATCACACTGGAAAAAGGCTTCCCTAAATAATTTTAACGTGGTTATATTCTCTGTGCGGATCTGGTCTGAGATTCTTCTGCAGTGAAAATCATTCTGTGTGACTGTGACACGCTTGCACCCAATTGTGCATTTGTTAATGCTTTTCATACTGCCTTATTAGTGTATTGATTTTTCTTTCTCTTAAAATAAGTTAACTAAAACACACAACAGGATAAAATAAAATACCACACTGTTTCATCAGCTTTCAATATTCTGGCCAGTGTGGGCATGGAAAAAATTGATTTGAAAGAAGTCTGACTTTTCAGATATACAATATCCTCTCTGATTCATGCTTAGAGAATCTGTCTGTTTCATAATATTCACACAGAAAACAGCAGTTGCTTTTTACACTTTAAAACTGGCTTATTCTGGAGTTTGTGTGTAACAGCCTCACTTGCTGCCTCTGCTATCACAAGCTACATCAGTTAAAATTTACTATCATCCTCTGAAGTGTCAGTTTAACAAAAATATCCTCACTTTAAAAAGGTCAAGTATTTTCACATCATACATCCATACCTTTCTTTTTTATTAATGGAGTTACAAAGTTCAGGAAGTTTGTGAGTCTCCATACACGTCTGCTGACTTTGCTCTGTTTTCTGCAGATGCTTCACTAGCACAAGGCTGGAGTTGCTCTAGCTCAGCTGCTGTGGGTGAGCTTGATGGGCTCTTCACTGGAACAAAAGGGCTGTCTCCAAACTCAACTATAGACCTTCCCAGACCTTTTCCAACATGCCAGATAAAAGAACTGAAGAGTTGTTCACACAGGTGGGTACACTTTAAGAACTGAGTGATTTTGATAGAAAATCAATTACTTCGTTAAATAGCGATAACAGAAATACGTATTTTAAAATGTTTAAACCTCCTGTTACAGATTATGCACTTGATAGTTCAATCTCTTAATGTTCTTTAGGTGACTAATTACATGTGGGTGTGTTAGCATTTACTAAAGGGGTGTAAATGATGCTATATTTAGCCACTGGATCTGCATAATTATTTCCTATCTTTAACCATTTTCACTGGTCTAACTTTTATCTCAATTCTATTTATGACTTGCCTTTTATATTTAAGCCATGAATAATGCAAGCAATAATGGGCAAAAGGCATAGGGAAGCTGAAAATTAACTTCTGGAAATTATTCTACTTGAATTCTTACCCTTAGAGTAACATAAGCTTAGCCTCTCACAGCTGGTTAACCCTTTCAGTTTGGTCGTGAAAGTAGGTATAGAAAGAATTGCTCACTCTCCAGTCTTTCCACAGTTTTGGTTTTGTTGCAAAATATTTTCAGTATATTTACATTTTTAGACTTCCATGAAATGTCA